GATACTTGTGAGTGGGATCTCGCTTTTACTGCAGTCTACTGTTCACCCCCCCCCCGCCCACTAATTATCCCGTTTCTCCCTTTTGCCCCCGCCTTAAACTTGCTTGAAATAAATAAGGAATCTTGCTGGGGGAGTCGGGGGTAGCACCCTTGACCTGGCCTTGTCTCCTTCATTCTTACACATCAGTTGGAAGGGGACGTAAAAGAACCCGTGACATTGTTCGTAAGGAGTAGGGGACGCAGGCCCTGGTGTCATGGTCTATCCGACTTGTGCCGTCTTTGGATGACAGCAAACATGGACTGAAGCGGCAGCATAATGCGTCTTTACATGCTGATGTCCGATCTCACCTCTCTGGTTTCTCCGCAATTCAACCATTGGCTACAAGTGAGGAACGTTGGCATCCTCGTCATTATTATAGATGGATAATGCGAGTTGAAGAGTTACTTTTTGATTGACGCGTTTTACCTGCCATAAGCACCCAGTGTTAGTAAGCCAGAACCCAATTACTAAAGTTTCATGATACATCAGCCTGAATAACTTGATTTTCCTTTGCTGTTTTTAGATTCTCCCGTGTCAGTTAGGAATGGATGCTGGTTACTATAAAAACAAGTCTGAAAACGTAAAGGTTAGTTTGATAATCAGTTACCTCGTTCCCCGTATCCTAAATCTTCCTCTCTATGGATTTCCACTGTCGCGAAATTTTCACGTGCGTACGCACGTAAATTTTACGTGTGTAAATAAAATATATGCAATATATGAATGTCCGCGCTTAAACGTGAAATTTGGGCGAGGTTGAGCTTTTACGTTTACGTGTGATTTTCCATTCCATGCACTGCCTCCATTTTTGTTTATTCGCGCGTTAAATTAACGTGAGTACGCCCGTACGCCCGTACGCCCGTACGCCCGTGAAAGTTACGCGAAAGTGGATATCCACCTTGACGCGTTACAGGGTTCAAATCTTCTTCTGTTAATAACAGGAAACTTGAGTAGTGTAATGCGTTAAGGTGGATTTCCACTGTCGCATAATTTTTACGTGCGCACTAAATTTTCCGCGCGTAAATAACATAGAGGCAATGTATGGAAGACGGCGCGTAAACAACTTTTACGTTTACGCGCGACCTTCCATACATTGCCTCTTAGACTTTCTCAAAAACCTTCGCTTCTCATTTCCGGTTCCGGTAGTTGGCCCCAGCAAGGAGAAATTTTCCTCCTGTGGTTTTTATCCAATCACGAACGGTTTCACTGATGCGGCGTCAATCAAACCCGATCACGCCACATGAAACGTGACGTAAACTGTTTTGATTCAAATTCATTTGATCTGTGTATTTTTTGCGGGCTGTATTTCGATTTCTTTTTATCGCCTGTATTCAAATAGTTCGCTCCAAAATGACGTCACTTGATGCGATTTTTTGCAGTGGAAACAAGTCGAGCTCCCGCTCTCTCGCTCGCTTTTCCCGCAGAAAACAAAAAAAATCTAATTTGAGCTCGACTTGTAGGCAAGTCTAATTGCCTCTATTTTACTTACTTACACGCGTTAAATTTACGAGCGTACGTACATGAAAACTACGCGACAGTGAAAATCAACCCTTGGGAAAAATTTCAAAATTTACGAGGATTTGAATGCAAAACCACTCAACCCTGGCTGGGTGGCAAGAGTTGTTTTTTCTTATACAAATCCTTCTAATCTTTCGGCGGCCGTTGCAATCGCTGCTTTTTAGATATACGGCTGAAATGTTACAGGCTACCCAATTTTAATACGCGCTTTCAGACTCCACTATTACTTCTATTTCGTTCGAGTTTGCAGAAAGTTTATCACATGACCAACTATTGCGAGGGCCTATTAAATTAAATTTTATGTGCAAAAAAAGAAACAGCTATATATATAACACCAACAAACTACACTTACATTTCGTGAATTCCTTGATTTTTACAATGTAAATTTGAAAGTGATTGATCAAAATCAAATCAAATCAAATCACTGGTTTATTGTCCCTTTTGCAGTCAGAAGACTGAATTGTAGGATACCTTAATGTACTAATAGGCTATATTTATTGACAAGATTGATATTTAACACTAACAAAATTTGCGAAACGTTCAGACCTTGTGGCTATGGGCCTGCTAGAACTCCTTGATCTTAGACAAATTATTTAATTCAATTCTTTACCAAGCAGGGGCGGATCCAGGATGTTTTTTAGGAGGGGGTGCACTCGTCTCTTGCTCTACTTCAACGCCAATAAATCACATAGTTTTTTTTTTGCAGAATACCAGTTGTATTAGAAAACCGCAGGTCATCTCAGGGGGGGGGGGGGGGG